CCTCTGCACCACAGTCCCAGACAGATGCTATTTCTCTGGGTGTGCAGGGGGTTGGCCTTTTGGAATGCAATAAGCCCTTCAGTCCATCTCCTCTTCCTTCCTGAACCCTGGAAGTGATGTCCAGGGAAGCAGCAGCTATGTTGCAACCATGCGGGTGAGGATAACGGCTTTCTGGTGCTTGTGGCAGACAGCAGGCACTGTGCTGAGCTGGTTGGTTCCCCTGGGGCCTCCATCTCCAGCTTCTGGTGGCTGTCAAGTGCCTGGCCTTCCGTGGCTTGCAGCTGCAGCAGTGTGGCTGCTGCTTGTGTGGTCACACGGATGTCTTCCCCTGAGTGTCTTCCCAGAAAGATGCCGGTCCTATTATTGCAGATAGGTGAGTTAATTAGGTATCTTGTAGGCAGTTAGACAGGGCCAGCCCACGAGGAGCCAACAGGGAGGACAGTGAAGACACATTCACTGAAGGCCAGCATTGTAGCAGGAGAGAAACTACCACACCCATTAGGATGAATAGCAGTGATTGATATTCTTAAGTAGGTATCAGTCACCTGCGTGGGGGCCAAGGTCTTGACTCGGCCTCTCCAGGCAATATCCCTGACCCCCACCCTTCCTGAAAATCCTTGTAGGCTTGCTACATTACATGACTTGCTCCCCCATTTAATCCATATTACCTGGGTGACTGTTCTTGTAATCTTATTGTTTGGTCATGGTCTTGCCCCACCTTGTAAATTTCCATTGGGTCTTGTAGTTTTGTCCCACTTTGTACCCGCCTCACCACATGGCTTTGCTGTATAAAACATCTTTGAAAAGTGGGGTGGGTGGGCAACCCACTTTCCGGTCCCCCTTCTGTCTCTCTTAGGCAGAAGCTTTCTTTCTCCCAATAAGTTTTTTCTACTCTTAGCCTCCGTTGTTCCTAGAATTCCTTCTTCGATTTTAGAGAACACAAACTCGCATTTCAGATATCTAATAGGTTTGGGAGTTACATCTCTTCCCCTATATCACTCTGAGCAGCCTGACCTCCGGCAAACACTCGGGTTGACTTCAGCGCTGTCCTTTATTTGCTCCCGGATGCCGTGGACCAATGCTCTGCCCTGGTGTAAGATCCGTTTCCTAGGAAGCAGTGGTGATCACAGCTCCTCTAAGACGGGAGGCTTGGAGGTGCGGGGCGGCCTGCAGTGCAGCGCAAGAAGCACCAAGCACAGTTATCACCACTAAGCTGTATCAGTCTGGCCTCTTGGGCCCAGGTGGGGGGCTTGGTCCAACCCCGAGGGCATCTACAGAGTTTCAGCAGCTCAAACCCCAGCCAAGATGTTGCTGGGAGATGTTTTTCAGATGCAGCTGATATTTAAACCAGCAGATTACCCTGAGCAGATGAGGGACCCTCATGTGGGTAGGCCTTGTCCCATCAGGTAAGGGCCCTGAGAGAGGGGACAGAGGTTTCCGGAAGGCACCCTGCTCCAGCCTGGGACACAGGAAGTCTGCCCGGGTTTCCATCCCACAGAATCTGAACTCAAAGCTGCGGCACTGTCTTACTGAAAAGCATCCCATGCCAGCCTCCCCTGCGATTCTGCACAGTCAGCCCCCGACTGGCTCGTGAGCTAACTGCTGAAAATCCATCCCCCAATATATACAATGCTCCGGATCTCCAGAACCTTAATATAAAGCCACTGGACTGAATTCAGTGTAGAGACAGATTGTATTGGCTAACATAGCATTGAAATATGCAAACAATGTTCAAACATAGCATTTCACCCCTAACCCCTGCATGGTGGGCTGTAATCCACACTATCTGGGAGGCTGAGGCAGGAGGATCATATATTTAAGCCCAGTGTAGGGAACCTGGCAGGGCCCGGTCCCAAAAGAAAAAGGGGGGTGGGGCTGTAGCTTTGTACTGGAACTCCTATCTAGAATGCTCAGTGCCCTGGGTTCAATCCCTAGTACCAGAAAAAAATAATAAAATAAAGATTTTACTCCCAGAATGTGGATTCCTAATTTGGAAATCTGACAATCCCACCACATTGGGAGTCAACCTTCCCCCAGACCAGGCAGCCAGGCCCCTGTGTGCCCTTCCTGCCCCTACACTGGGCCTGCTCTGGGCATTTGGGTTTCCTGAGCTCTGGGTTGAGTTTTGTAAACATTCGGTAATGGGGAGACCCTGCCACTGCGCCCAGGAGGCCCCAGAGCGGGGCTGGGATGCTGCTCCCGGGAGACCTCGGCGGGGGGGCTGCCCTCTCCTCAGAATTGAGTCTGGGCCGAGAAGCACCAGAGGCGCCTGCTGCCTCCCGAGGCGGAGGAGGGACACTGGTGAGTCTGTCCTCAGAAGGCCTCCATCCCGCCAGGTGTGTGAGGACCACAAAGCAAGCGCGTGCCTGGGACGCTGGCCCTCAGCGACAGTGACCCTCGCCACCCAGAGCCACCTGGATACGGTGTGCAATTTCTGGCGGTGCTTGATAGAAACCTGCTGCTTGCTCCCTGCCCGCCCCGGCTTTCTGGGCCCCAAGAAATGAGACTACCGAGTCAATGGCCCGACAGCTTTGAGGACCGGTAAATATTGTACTTTTAACCTTTACTGACACTCTTTATATTACTTTTTATTAATTATAAATACTGAGAATTGTAGAAAACAAAAACACTGAAACCTGGTCCCCCCTCCCCTTTTTTTTGCAGTGCTGGGGACTGAACCTAGGGCCTTTGCACTGATCTATATCCGCCACCCTTTTTTATTTTTAATTTAAAAATTTCTTTTATTTCATTTCTCCCCTTATTTTAAATTTAGCTAAGTTGTTAAATTTCCCTGGCTGGGCCTGACCACTCGATCCTCCTCCCTCAGCTCCCAGTGCTGAGCTGACAGGCAAGGACCCCCACACCTGGGCTTAAAGATCGGCTCAATCTTTACTGACCCTTCATATTACTTTCATGAACCTTAAATACTGGGAAGTGTAGAAAATAAAAAACCGGGCCAGCTTCTCTCCCAAATAACTTGTTGACATTCACAGTTACTGCGGCTCCGGAGCAGCCTGGAGAAAACAAGTCAGGCCGGAAGGCACCGACGCCAGTGGAATCCTGCCCGGCCGCGGCAGCCCGGCAGGACCGCGGACGCCACCCCTCCGGGTCTTGTAGCTCCAGGGCCACAGCCGGTCCTAGGCCACACCTTCCCGCCCGGTCCTGGAATTGCACCGCCCCAGGCGCCCCCTGCTGCTGCAGCTGCGCCTCCTCTCGGAGGGCGGTTGCCCTCACTGAAAACCTAGCTTCCCTAGCCTCAGCAGGCTGGAGGCTGCACCTACTGAGCTCCATGATCCCCCACTGTGGCCCTTAGCTCTTGAGTCTCCTGTGGATCTTGGTTGGTTCCCCTGCTCACACTTTACCGAGATAACTTGTGTCTATTTTATATTTTGAGACAAGGTCTTGCTACAGATGCCCAGGCTGGGCTGTCCTGCCTCAGCTTCCCCGAGTACTTAGGTAACTCTTCCTGAGGCCAGGCACTGTTCTAAGCTTCTTACAAATACCAGATCCAGTCCTACAAGCACTCAGTTCACGGGAGCAGCCCCAGAATCCAGTGTCTCAATCCATGACAGTCTCTGAGAAGTCCTTGGTACCCTCCAGTGTCTGGCCAAGCTTTGAACTCGCTGGACACAGAGAAAGCTTGGTGACTGAATGCACTTCCGGCCTCTGGAGGTGGGGCATGGGTGGCTGACCACCTGCTTCTGGAGGGCCCTTCCTGCTCTGCCTCCTGTGGCTCAGTCCTCCTTCCCACTTCGAAGGGCCTTTTGTTTTGCTTTTTCCTTGAGAGAGGGTCTCACTATGTAACCCAGGCTGGCCTTGAACTTGTGGTGCTCCTCCTGACTCAGCCTCCTGAGTGTTGGGATTGCAGGTGTAAACCACTATACCTGACTCTGATGGGCCTTTGAACACCTAACCCAGTGGTTTCGGTCATTTGTATAAAGATTCTGAAAACTGGTTGTCAGCATCTATGTTTCACACAAGTGAACCTGAGAGTAAGCCCATCTCTCGTCTCAGCGTCTGAAGTCTGGGCTTGAGCACATCACCTGGAAACCGCATCCTGACTCTCAGCAGGGTGACTACAGCGCCACACTCCGTTGCCAGTCCCTCTGGGCTCTTGGAGCCTTGCAGTAGGGAAAGAACTTTCCCCGTCATCGAATGCCGGCCCCTGGAACTCATCCTCGTTCTGTCACCCACCAGTTACACAGCCAGTTCCTTAAAACCCAGCTTCCTCCTTTGGACCAGTGCACTTCAGAGCCCCACTCCCTCCCCACCACTGGGGGCCAAGAATCTCCCAGGATCCCCAGTTTTACCTAAAGGAGCCAGTCACACCTGCAACTGGAATCTGGGTTCCTGATTCAACAGACACAGCCATCTCCTCACCTGTAGACCTCTGTCCTCAAATTCCAGGACGCACAAAAAGATGGCAAAGCACGAGGATGAACTTCCAAACTTTAGACTATAATGAAATCCCAGTAACAAATATGGCCGCACAGCAGCTTCTGGATCATATTCCTTTATGTGAAAACATTTCATTAAAAGCTGTCTTTTCTAAACTGAATGCAGGGCCGGGGATTTAGCTCAGTGGTTCCACTGCCTGTCCCATAAACTGAATGGAGTATTAATTTTAAAACACTGCATGAAAGGTATGGTGGCACACATCTGTAACCCCAGTATTCAGGAGGCTGAGGCAGGAGGATTGCAAACTCGAAGCCAGGGTGGCTTACAAAGGGATTTAGCTCAGTGGTTCGGCTGCCTGCCTTGCAAGCACAAGGTCCTGAGTTCGATCTCCGGTATCAAAAAAGAGCCTGGAAGCCAAAGTGAGACCTGTCACAAACAAAAAGCAAGGGAATGGTGGCTTGAGTCTGTAATCTCAGCCCTTCTGGCGGCTGAGACAGGAGGACTGCAAGTTTGGGCCCACCCCAGACAATTTCAACACTTAGAGACAGCCTGTCTCAACTCCCAGTACCGGACTAGAAACAACAAAAACGAAACTCATAATCTAAGACTTAAAGCATGGTATTGGACATTTAATGTTTCATGTGGTGAAAACACGAATAGAAAAATAGGGGGAAATCGAGGCATAAAAAACGGTTTCCTCCGTCCACGCAGCCAGGCTCTTTACCCAGTAGACAAGTGGGGGAAAGTCTTGGCCTCATGACTTCTGAGCCGAGACTGTCACATCGGGGACACAGAAGCAAAGCCAGGACTGTCCTTCACGCGTGTCCACCGCTCCCCCTGGTGACGGAGGTGCTCCTTACCCCGGGCTCCACCGCAGATCATGCTCTCCTGAACTACGCAGGGAAAGGAGAAACCGCCAGCCCCTTGTCCCTATACTGGCCGCGACTCTGCCGCCTCCCTCTGTCCCCGCCTCGTTCCGCCTGCGTCCTTCCCTGCTTTCTTCTAGGCTCTGCTCGGTCTCTACGCAACTTCACGCTCCGGGCGTTTCCGGGGAAACCGCGAAGGCCACGCCCGCAGGGCTCCAGCGCCTCTTCTGATAGGTCAGACCCTCGCAGTCACGTCCCTTTCTTTACCGCCACGCCCCTCGTGGAGCGGGCTCGGGGTCGCGCAGGCGTGGTGGCGCGCTCGTGTCCCCTCCCTTCCCCATGCTGAGGGTCCCGAGGCTGGGGTGCGGGGCTTGACACCGCGGCTCCCTAACTTTGAACTAGCTGAGGGTCGCGAGTGGGAGTTAGAACCGGGATTTGGTGCTGGCCTCCCAGCAGGAAGGGAAGCTGGCTGGTAGTCTTTTGCAAATCAGGGAACAGCTGGGAGGTGGCTATCGCCTCCCCCCCTGCAGTGGCCCTGTCGGTAGTGAATAGTGAAGTTGGGTGCAGGGAAGATTGTGGAGAGCGAAGGGTTGAAACTACCCTGGAAAGACTCCTAAACCCCTTGAGATTCTTGAGTCAGATAAGAACATAATGAGCCAGGATATGAAACTGGTACAAAAACAAGGATGTTGACTTTTAAAGAAAACAACGAATATAGAAAGGATTTGAATGTCTGCTGGACGAGAAAGTAACATTCCCGGAATTGTAAAGATATATTTGACCTTTTCTCTGTAAAAATAATTAGTCACGAGATCATGAGGGGAGGAAGGGAGGGAGGCTGTGGGTAATGAAGGAGGATATATAAAAGGCTCAATAAAGTGGGAAGGAGAAGGCCCTTGCTCTCTCCTCTGCTTTTCTTTTCTCCCGAATTTGTGTTGTTTTTCTTAATCCTCACCCCTCTCCTCAGGTACTGTTCGACTAGTGACCGCTGGCTCCGTCAGAAGATTGAGGCAGGTTTGTTGACAAAAGGGTTAGGTCTCGGCATTGCTCTGGTGACGCAGCCCTGGCCCGGCACTAGGGCGGTCGCGAGGCACAGCACTGATGTTAACTAAGAACAGCATGAGATACTAATAAATATAAGAACCATTCGTTACCACGAGCTGTGACCCATCTTTCCCCAAAGTTACAGCAAACAGATACCTGAGTCTGAGGAGCCTTTTGTGAGGCCCGAGTGAAAGGCCTTGCCAGTTGGCCTTGACAGTGTCCGACCCAGCCAATGTACTTTGCTGTCCCCCTTCTGCCTCTCTTAGACAGAAGCTTTTTCTCAATAAATTGTTCCCACTCTGAAAACAAAACAACCTCAGTGTACAACCTTAGCAACAGTTACAATATCGGCAGAAACCAGGCTCCTGGAATAAGCAGTCCTGAGGCCCCGTGGCCCACCCCCATGGGGACCCCAGGCTCACCCCCTTGCAGACCTGCGCCATCCCTCTGGATCTGTACTCTGATCCGAATAAACTCCGTCTTTCCCACATTCCTTGGCTGTTGGTAAAAAGGCTGAGGAATCAGCTCATCCACACCTGCGGTGACTGGCCCTTCCCCGTGGGCCCTGGGGCATAGGGATTCGAACCCCAGCTTCACAACTCTTTGGCTGTGTATGCGTGTGTGCTGGGAAGGTGTTAGAGGAATCCTGAGCGAGAGGGATTTGATGAACCACTGCTGCTTCTGAGAGCAGGTGGCTGCGTGCAAGCACAGAAGTGGCCTCAAGGAGCTAACCAGGGAGGCCAGGTCTCAGTCCTCCAGGCGCGAGGACCGGGATTTCCCAGGCAGCTTTGGTGCGGCCGGTCAGCCACTAATCCTCCATACTGGAGCTCCGGACGGCAATCAGGGCAACACATGTGCTTTCAGTAACTTGTTCCCACAGCAGAACACAGATGTAGAAGGGTCTGGTTAGAAGTGGGCTTGATGGTGGCGCACGCCTGCAATCCCAGGACTTGAGAGGCTGATACAGGAGGGTCTCTATAGTGAGTTCGAGGCCAGCCTGTAATACACAGCAAGACCTTGTCTCAAAAAATGGAAGAAAGGGGCCGGGGATTTAGCTCAGTGGTTCCGCCGCCTGCCCTGCAAGCGCAGGGACCCGAGTTCGATCCCTGGTACCAAAAAAAAAAAAAAAATGGAAGAAAAAAAAAAGTGGCTTGAAACTTAGTCTGCAGAACCATTTGAGTTTGGTCAGGAATAAGTCTTTGGCCTCACTTTCCTAAGAATGTGGGAAAGTAGGGCCGAGGATTCAGCTCGGTGGCTCTGCCGACTGCCTAGCAAGTGCAAGGTCCCAAGTTCGATGCCTGGTACCAAAAAACCCCACCAGAATGTGGGAAAGTGGGTCCAGACCCCCAAAATCTTGCCCTGACATCCTCTCCTTGGAGTCCTTTTTGGACAGCCTGCACGCTCATCTCTTCTCCTTTCCCCCGGAATGTACACAGGCACTTTATAGTAAGGGTTGATACTTGGTCAAAGTACCCCACCTCTTCTACTTCAGCAATGAATGCCCCAGCTCTTCTGCAGAGATCACTGGGACTGGACTGATTTACTGTGTTACCAAGGACAAACCGAGATAAACCTGCTAGCTTCCCTTGCTCTTAGTTGACTTGCAGATGACGGATTCTGGAGGCCACGTGGCTGGCACTGTGGCATTGGTCTTGCCCTGGCTGGTCACGGTGGTGACAGTTGCCTCGGTTACTTCTCAGGGACGTGAGGGCCACTCCTGCTGAAATGCTGACTTTTCACTTGGGCCTGCAGACATCCGTTGGGTGACTGGGAGGGGACGGAGGGCAGGGGCGTCTCTGACTTTACCTTGCGTCTGTAGCCCTCCCTTCCTTAACCTCTGGTCGGAGTCTGCTCAGCTCTGCGTGTAGATGCTCACCCCGAGGAGCGCCTTCTCCACAGTGCCAGGAGAGGAGAGGCTGATCTGTGAGGAGAGCTCCTTCCTCTCCATTCTTGGGCCACTGAGGGAAGCCAACACTGGTCTCTGGGACTCCAGTTTTTCCCTGGGATGGAGCTGGGCAAGGTGTCCACACTTGTAATCCCAGCACTTGGGAGGCTGAGGCAGGAGGTTTGCTGTGAGTTTGAGGTCAGTATGAGCTACATAGTGAGACTGTCTCAAAAAAATCCATGACATGCACCTCTGGACCTGAGGTAATAATTGCACCAGTTTGGAGAGTTACAATACTGTCAACCTGGTTTTTTTTGTTTTTGTTTTCAGTCCTGGGGACTGAATGTAAGCCTTCGCACTAGGGATTGAACCTTGGGCCTGCATATATTAGGCAAATGATCTACCACTAAGCTACATCCTCAGCCCTAACTTTTATATTTTTATTTATTTTATAGCAAAACATTTGTTGGTACATTTCAGGCCTACATACTGCTAGCACTCATCAGAGAGACTTTGCACCTGTGCATGACACCTCCTGCCTCTTTTTTCCCCTCTCCCCTCCCCTAAAGCCCCTCCCCTGCCCTCCCTTTGCACAAAAGCTGTTTCCATTTTCCCTTTTTTTTCTTGTCCCTTCCTCCTTTCTCCCGCCCTCCTCCTTCCTTGTTTCCTTTCCCATTTGAACATTTTCTTCCCATTTCCCAATACACTTCAGTCCTTCTTTCCATTTTCAGTTTCTCACACCAGAGAAACAATGTGGTATTTAAACATGTGTGTCCGATTTATTTCACTTAAGAGTATGGTCTCAAGGTCCATCCGTTTAGCTGTAAATGTCTGAAGCTCATCCTTCTTTATCCTAGCCCTAACTTTTTAAAATTTTGAAACTTGTTTTTGCTATGCCAGGTTTCCCCGGCTAGCTCAAACTTGCGATACTCCTGCCCCAGCCTCTCTGTGTACTGGAATTACAGTGTACTCTATATACTTGCCTTTGCTTGTTCTTTAATGTATTTTGATATAATTGTATGCAGAAAGATTTTCTTTTTGGTACCAGGGATAGAACTCAGGACCTTGTGCTTGCAAGGCAGGCACGGTGCCACTGAGCTAAATCCCCAACCCAAGATTTTTAATATATTAGTCAGGTGTGGTAGCACATGCCTGTAATCCCAGTACTCAAGAAGCTGAGGCAGGAGGATTGTTACCAGTTTGAAGCCAGCCTGGGCTACATAGTGAGTTCAAGGCCAGCCTGAACTACAAAGTGAGACTATGTCTCAAAAAAACAAAACAAATGAAAAAAGATTTTGGATGTATTAAAAATTGCCATATGTTAAACTTTTCCTGGTTACTATTTGTACGGGATTGAATAGTGCCCCTCCCGAATTCATGTTCTTCAAGACTTCAGAAGGTGACCTCTTCCCTGGGGGCTGCAGACCTGGACCAGGGCCAGCAGCACCAACAGACTTCGGCCTCTGGAACCCTAAGAACAGGGGTCTGCTGTCCAAGCCACTCCGTGAGGGCAGTGTGTCTCACACTGTCCCTAGGAAACTGCTCCCTTTTATCTGACAGTTACAAATGGTACTGCTATTGAGGACAACCCTAAATGAATCCTCTAGATTCGCTTGTCCCAGGTTGATTTAAAAATCACTCATTTTGGAGGTCACACAGCTGGAAGACAGGTTATTGGTCCCACCATGAATTTGGGAATTGCTACCTGTGCATAACACATCTTAGTTTTTCAATCCCCTCCCTCCCTCCCTGTCAAGTTTCCAATGATGCTCTCCACTAGAGTCTGCCCAACCCCTTCCTAGGCCCAGGCAGGGCTCCAGCTGTCCGTCCCAGGTGCTCCTCTGGGGCCCGAGCTGACCGTCTGGCTACTGACATCGAATTCCCACCATCCACTGCACACTCCAGCAGTGGCTCCTGCTGTCCCCTCTACCCAGGGCCACACGGTGGCCTCCTGTCTCCAAGCAGCTCTTCCATTCCCCCGGCCACTCATTCCCGATGGTGACCTGGGGCTTGTTACCGCCTCGCACCTGCTCTGCCAGCCCTCCTTTCTGACCCCAGCTGGCCACGTGACACTCCCACTGCAGTCCCCAGCACATTTCTGAGACCTCTGGCCCTCGGTTCTCCCCCACAGCTACCTTCTTGCCTTCCCCATACGCCTACTCGGTGAACAGGCCCAGGGCTGCAGTCATGTGCTCGTAAAGCTGCGGTGCTTCCTCTTCTCCTCTTGCCTCCTCTCTGGCAAAAGTACACCCAGCTGACCCAGCTGTGCCCACCTGTCTGCTTTAGGCTGGTGCTGCAGGAGCCTGGGGCACAGGGTCATGTAGTTTCGGCGGTTAGAGGTAGTAAAGAGCTGGGTGGCACACGCCTGTAGTCCCAGTACTCTGGAGGCTGAGGCAGAAGGATCATCAGGAGTTTGTGGCCAGCTTGAACTACATAGTGAGATCCTGTCTCAAAAAACCAAAAGAGAGAGAGAGAGAGAGAGAGAGAGAGAGAGATGTCCTTAGAGGAGGCCAAGAATATGAAGAAGCTTGGGAACAATGCAGGGAGGGAGGAATGGAAACTACAGAGCATTATGAGGAAATGGGCAGTGAGTAAGTCAAGCCCTGGGCGGACCAAGAGATTTACCTGGCCCCATCTGCCTGTGGAAGACGGCAGAAACCCACCTGCTCCATGCCTCCCCACTGCCCAGAGGAGGAGGGTGGCCAGGGCCAGGGGTTTGGATTTGGACGTCCTGTCACCTTGGAGTCACCAGAGGCAGAGGAAAGTGAGCCAGGACGGTCATGTGGGGGAGAGAGGTCTCCTAGGAGGAACCACAACCTTTTCAGCAAAACCAGGAGAGGAAAGTGCCTGTGTCCGTCACCTTAGTCTAGGTTCTGTCACCATTAGAAACAAGCCCCAGGCCGGGGATTTAGCTCAGTGGTTTTGCCGCCTGCTTTTCGAGCGCAAGGACCTGAGTTCGATCCCCGGTACCAAAAAAAAAAGAAAAGAAAAAAGAAACAAGCCCCAAATCTCAGTGACTTAGAACAAGTCCAGTTTTTCTTCTGTGTTGTGCATTCATCACAGATCAGTGGCACTTTGCCCATCAAAGGAACACAGAGTGACAATCCATCTTGAATGGTACTGCTCCCTGCGCCAGAAGGCACATCGAGTTCTGGATAGGTATCCTCACAACTCACTGACTGGAATCAGTCCCAAGGGCCAGGAAGGCAGAGAACTGCAATTTATTGGCTGCACAGCACTGGAGACCCCTCATGGTGTTTTGTTTCAGAAAAGCTTTAGATCAGAATGCAGAGCTGGAGAGAACCCCGGCTGAGCCTTCGTTAGCAGGGATCCCGGACAGCAGGTGATGGCACACTTGGGCAGGGCCCGGGAGGCCAGGGCGTTGTCTCCCTGCACCTGTGCCTTGGCAGCCTGGTAAGGCACTGAAGTTTTGGCTTAGGGTCAAATTCTCGGCAGTGCCCTTGTCCCTCCACAGTGCTGTCACAGGCTGTACCAGCCTGCCAGGATGTCCACCAGATTTAAATCTGCCTTCTTCCCGGACCCGCGGCCGATGAAAAGCAGAAGCCTTGGCCCAGTATTTCCTCAGGGTCCCCTCAGCCTGATTCTGCAGAGGGCCAGCAGTTTCTAGCTTTCCAGAGGCTACTTCCTTCCACTTCTCATCAGCTTGTCCCACACCTCTATCTCGCAGTGCTGTTCTCATCTTTCAGGTGTGGTCAGGTGACACCTCTGGGCTCCCACAGCCCTGTGCTTTCTTCTGTAGCACTGAGCAGACAGAACCCAGCTTGAGGTGGCCTTGGCAGCATCAGAACCTAAGAACCCCGACAGGCCTTTCCGCAGTGGCTCAGAACCTGACCTACAGCTGCAGGTTTGATACCTGGATCTATAATAAAAAAGTCTGGTGACCATTACATGCAACTTAATGATTATACAGCCAGGTGAGATTGCCTCTCAGAATGGTACCTTATCACACTACTTAAAAATGCAAGATTTGGGCCGGGGATGTAGCTCAGTGGTTCTGCCACCTGCTTCGAAAGAGCAAGGTCCTGAGTTCGATACCCAATACCAAAAAAAAAAAAAACCCTGCAAGATTTAATTAACCTTCCAATGCAGCAAGGACAACAGGGTTGTAGCTTAGTGGGAGGATGTATGCTTAGTGTACATGAGACCTTAGGCTCAATCCCTAGCACAACAAAGGGAAAAGAAAAAAACACTTCCAGGCTGCATTTTTAGGTGTGTGTGTGTGGGCAGTCATTAAGGGTTAGGTGGTGCACTAGCATTTACATATACACTGGTACCTCGGTTCATAAACTCAGTTGTCTTCATGATTCTGGTTAGAAACTGAATTGGTCAAGAAATGAATTGGTGCAGGCCAGGGATTTAGCTCAGTCGTGCCACCACCTGCCTCGCAAGCTCAAGGTCCTGAGTTCAATCCCTGGATGACCCCCCCCCCCCAAAAAAAAACCTGAACTGAATTGGTGGAGAAATAAATCAAATTTCCCCATAAGGTCAATATTGAGCCTAACCATTGAATTTGATTCGGTTTTCATCCAACTTGGTTTTTTTTTTGGTACTGAGGATCAAACTCAGGTCCTTGTGTTTGCACAGCAGGCAGCAAGACCACTGAGCTAAAACCCCGGCCCCATCCAACTTGGTGATGAGAATCACGGAATCAAGTTCATGAACAGAGGTACCACTATATGTTCAAACACACTATTTCTTTTCTGGTACCAGGGATCTAACTCAGGACCTTGTGCTTTCGAGGCAGGCGGTGGCACGACTGAGCTAAGTCCCCGGGCCACTATTTCTTAGTTATACACAAATTCATACATGGTTTCCTCCCAGGTGAACTGGAAAGTTGGGAGAAAGGGGGAATCACTTCTCTGTCTTGAATTTTTTGTCATTTTAAAAGTACTCTCCATGTTAAAAATTGACTACCCAATGAAATGCAGTATCCTGGAACAGAAAAAGGGCATTAGCGCCAAACTAGTAAGTTGGAATGTGATGTGATCTAATTTGTACTGTACCAACATAAAATTTTTAGTTTGGCAATAAATACAGGTTTCTTGTAGTCATATCCCAGGCTCACAATTCCATTGAACTCACTCCTCCCCACTGGAACTCAGCAAATTCTTTCTTCCTGAGCTTGGAAGCTATACTCATACTTCAAGGCCAAGCTCACTAACTACTTGTTCTGTAAAGCTTTCCTAGACCTCTTCCTGTGTCCTCTGAAGACGTTAGTGACTGTTAGGGCTGTGACACACGCTTTCTATTGCTTGTATTTCTACCATCTACGTGGTTCAGGAAGCAGACTCTAAGGTGCAGAGTACTAGAGTGCAGGTACAATTTTTAGGGATCAATACCTGTGCAAGGGAATGAGCACGTTGGGTGTGAGACTTTGGTATAATGTAGCCTAACAAAAGCTTCAGCAGATGCCACATGGAGCTCTGAAGTGGAGATATCCTTCAATCTCGTCTCAAGCAGAAAAGACAGGGGCCCTGGATGTGAGGCACGCAGGAGAGGAAGTGTGACTTCAGCAGAGGCACTTCCTGTGGAGGGCCAACCAGCCAAGGGCTGTGCCAGTCATTTCCAGTGGCTGGAGACTCAGGCCTTCATTTCTGAAGGGGATTTTGCATCGCAAGGGGTGATCCAAAAATATGAATATTTTAAAAACTTACAGTACAAGACACATTGTCAAGAATGATAGGATATGTGTTTGAAGCAAGGGGGAGTATTAATACCAATTTATTTTTTACTATAATAAATTTAAAAGACATTCCCTGTATTTTAAAAGTATAGACTGCTGGGCCAGGGATTTAGCTCAGTGGTTCTGTCACTTGCCTCACAAGTGCAAGGACCCGAGTTCAATCCTTGGTACTCCACCCCAGAAAAAAAACCCTGGCTCACAAATTTGCACAGGAGCCAGGCTAATCTGCTCTGTACGGTTCCAATTTTAGTATGTGTGTGGCTGAGGTGTCATTCACTGTATTTTTTATCATACCTGGTACTGCACGTCAACTCCATCCCACTATAATTACATTTTGTCACTATACTCCAAATGCAAGAAATAGTAGAGTCTAATTTGATCCCTGGTACCGAAAAAAACCCAAGCCAGCTCTGATCTGAAACTCTGAAGGTATTTTGGCTCTCAGAAGGCAGGGCCTGGACCACATGAGGTTCCTCTCTAAAAACCAAGTATGTTCTTTCCTCACTGAGGTTCCCCCCAACACACAGAGCTAGAGATCCCCCCTGGCCAAAAGCTTACTGAGGGTCTCAGAGAGCAGTTTACCTGTTTAGCAAGGAGGACAATCAAGGAGAAAATGTTCATTCTGTTTTTTTTTTTTTTTTTTGGGTACCAGGGATCAAACTCGGGTCCTTGCACTTGGGAGGCAGGTGTTGAGAAAATGTTTCTTCTTTTGTTATTGTTGTTTTTGGTACCGGGGATCAAATTCGGGTCCTTGCACTTGCGCAAAAATGTTCATTCTTACAAAATTTCTTGGGGCTGGGGATTTAGCTCAGTGGTTCCCCCGCCTGCCTCGCAAGTGCAAGGTCCCAAGTTTGATCCCTGGTACCAAAAAAACCCCCAAAACCAAAATTTCTTAATAACTTTCTAGATCTTTTGTCTTTTCAAGCAAACGAATAAGTTTATTAACATGGTTAAGTTTTTTTTTTTTTAAACATGGTAGGGTTTTGACCTCAAATACTCATCAGGTCTGCTACTCAAACTTATACCTGGACAACATAGGAACTTTGAAGATGCCTCTTCACTGACCAGTTAAGGTCCAGCATAGACAGTTGCATGCTTTTCTTCGCAGCTCCTCAAAGGCCTTTGCAAATAGCTTTTGTTTTATGCCCAGAACCCCCTATTACACCGACTTGTATAGAATGTTAAGATCTCATCTCCTCCTCTAGGTCCCATGGAAATAGAGCTGAGTTAGGTTGTCCAAACAAACACCAGACAGGTTAGATCAGATGGTGTATCACACAGAATTTAAATTTTGAACAAAGTATGTCTCTCCTCCTTTGGTCTCACACAGGAATTAAAGTCTCCCAGTACAAACAATACTATCCCCCCCCTTCCTCCCGGTCCATCAGTCCTTGCCGGATCAGGCTCATCGGCATTCCCAGTTGAAGTCTGGTCCCTTCCTCCACAGTTGCTACACGGAGTCGTCTTCTAGAATGATCGCAGCTCCTTCAGCACCTCCAGAGCCGCAGGACTCCCAATTCTGAGTCTCACATGTCACAGACGCAAAGTTCCAGGGAGCTAACACGTCACACAAGAAAGAGCAAAGCATCTCAAAAATTTAGAAATAATAACCAAAGCCCATAAACGAATGTGACTGCCGTAAGAGCTTACAATCTAGGCCCCAATTCCTGTAGGTGAGAGCATTTCCAAACAAAAGTTACTTCCTCCAACGAAAACATTTAACAATCTAAACTCATATTGAGGTCATCAACCACAGACCATAGCAGAAACGCAGTGTGAGTGAGGACAGAGTGCAGACAGAAAAGAGGGAAAACAAAAGGCTCTCTGGTTTCAGCTTCTCCGGGGTGTCGGCCAATCTCCATCACTCGACCAGAATCACCGGCTGGAACCCTAGGGCACAGCAGGAGAGACTCGTCACCAGGCGCTCGGCCCCGGGGAGCGAACCGACCCGAGCGCAGGCTCGCCTCCTCTCGGGGCAGCCGACCCATTCCCGTCCGGCGGCAAGACCCGGACTCGTGCCAAGGCCGCCCCCTGCCAAACTCGCTCCCGCTCCCGTCCCCTGGGCCAGGCAGGCTGCGGCGTCTGCTCCGGCTGCCTCGGTGCCGTGCGCGTGGTCCTGATTATTTCCTGCGGCAGGGTCTCGGTCTCGCGTGCACCCGGGCTGGCCTTGCACTCGCAGCGACCCTCCCGCCTCAGCCTCCCGGCCCCACTCGGCTCCCAGCCGCCCCCCGGCCGGCGCCCGCCCTTACCGCGGCTCACGACGACTCGCCCCGCTCTATCCGCCGCACCAGCTGCACCAGCATCTCGGCCATCTTCGCCATCTCCCGCGCCTTCTCCTCGGCCTGCTCGGCCCGCGGGCCGGGCCGCGCCTGGGCGCCGTCGGCGGCGCTCTGCAGGTGGTTGAGGGCGCTCTCCTCCGAGGCCTCCACCTGCGTCTTGATCTGGATGAGCAGATTGTCCATCTCCCACAGCTTGCCGCGCTCGCGCACGTGCGCCCGGCCGCGCTCGCGCGTCAGCGCCGCGATGTCCTCGCGCATCTCGTGGATGACGGGCAGCAGGAACTGCTCGAAGTCCTCCTCGGGCTCCAGCACCTCCACCTCCTCGGGCTCCGCCAGCTCCACCGCGTCCAGGGGCCGCATCTCGCCGCCGCTTCCGAGCCGCGCCGCCAACGTCTGCGGGAGGCAAAACGGACAGTCGCTGCGCTCAGCGACACAGCCCACGACAGCCTCGGCAAACTTTCACCCTTTTTTCAACTTTTCTCCTCAGAGAAGCCGCGGAAACCAGCGACTGACGAGCAGCGAAGCGCCCAACAAAATGGAGTCCCGGCCGTCAAGCGGCGCTCTGCGCGTTGCAGCCGCTTTCACGACTCGGCGGGGGCTCGCTTTACGGTCGCGCTGCGAGGCGGTGGGCGGTGCCGCAGGAGCGCGCGCGCAGGCATACAAACGCGCGGCCTCCCCACGTCCTCTCCCTCTCGATGCCGGTCCGCGTCCGGCCTGGCTGTGCTGTGGGGCTCTGCTCTGGTCCTCCGGGTGGCTCTCGGGGACAGAGCTCACGTTTGCACAGGTTTCCTACCCTGGGAAAGGAGGATTCAGGGAACGGCGCAGTCAAGCCGGTGAGCTCGCGGCCGACGCCAGAGTTCCTCCGAGCCCAGGGACCCGAGCCTTCGGCCGTTGGGGTGCAGTCAGCAGTGTCAGGGGTCTGTGTTCCTAGGGACAACCGTGTGGGGGTCCTGAGGGCCCGCAGACCAGGGCTCAGGTGGACGCTGGAGAGGAACTGTCCCAGCCTTCTCCAGGTCATCTTCCTCCCCTCTCCCTTTCCCCTTTCCGCTCTCCCATTTCTCCTCCTTTTCCCCCCCCCCCCCGCTCCCACTGAGCCCCTCCCAGGCCCCCCATCTGCAGCCCCGTGGCTCCCTCTTCTCTGCACTCTTCTTGGGATTGAGCCTCTGGCGGGTCTTACTCAGTTCTGCATTCCTACATGGAACTGAATTAGTAAATTTGTTTTAACACAAAACTTTAGGGAAAGGTGTTAAGTTCTTCAGCTGTTGAGCCAGTCACCAAATAGCCATAAGTATTTCAGGAATCTAGCTTGCATGCTTGGCTTGTTTCCCAGTCAATAGGGTATAAGGGACAGATTCGAATGTGGCAGACTTAAGGATTAAAAGAAATAATAGCCAAATAACCACACAAAAGACAAAAAACAAAAACAAATCATGAAAATGCTTTGTGAACAGCAAGCACAGACATGTAAAGTGCGAGCCTCTCCCTTCCCCACTCCACACGGAGCTACATCCCTAGCTTTGTGTGTGTGTATGCGTGTGTTTCTTTAGAGACAGGTCTCGTTATGTACCCCAGGCTGGCCTCAAACTCACAGTGATCCTCCTGCTTTGACCTCCAGAGTGCTGGGATCACAGGTGTGTGCCACCACACCATTTCCCAGCCATTTAAAAAATTTTAATTTTGAGACAAGGTTTTGCTAAGTTGTTAAAGTTTTCTGGCTAGGCTCTGACTTCAGATCTTCCTGCCTCCGCCACCTGCAGTACGGGGATTATTGGCATGTAGCACCATGCCTAGCTAAGTGCATGTCTCATGTAGGTCTTTCTCAGATTCTTTATATTTTGGTTGCTCCTTAAAAAATCCAGGGGCAGGGGATTTAGCTCAGTGGTTCTGGCGCCTGTCTTGCAAGGACGAGGTCCTGAGTTTGATCCCCAGTATCCCCCCGCCCCATCCAACATTTGGGCTTTCCTAATATATCAGAGGCAGCCAGCTTATAATTTTCTTGTATGAATGAAAATAAATGGCTCAAACGGCAAATGAGACTCCAGTGCACACCTATTAGAATGGTCGGAGTGCAGAACACAGACAAGGAGAGGATGAGAATCGATGGAAACTCTCGCTTCCTGGTGGAGGGAAGGTAAAACTGCACAGGCACATTAGAAGACAGATCAGTCGTTCCTTATAAAACTGAACAGACTCCTGTGTGATCCAGCAATCACATTCCGTGATATTTATCAGATGAGCTGAGCCTGCGTATCCACAAAAAAACCTCACCTAGGTGTGCATAGCAGCTCCGTTCGTAATTGCTGAAATGCAGAAGTGACTTTACCTTTGTAGAGGAGAGACTGGACTGTGGAATATGATTCAGTGCGGAAAGAAATGAACTCTCAAACCAGGAGAGGACACAGCAGCTTAAATGGACAAGATGAAAAGCCAATCTGTGGGTACCACTGAGTCCAACTGTGGGACCTGCAAGAGGCAGTACGATGGAGATGGGAAGAGATGGGGATTGTTTGAGGGAGGGATGAAGACGGAGACCCAAGATCTTAGGGTGGTGAAACCACTCCGTGAGGCGAGGATGGGGGGGGGGTGTCCTTTCACCTGAACCCATGCAGGCTGCAACACCTAGCGTGAGCCCTGATGTAAGGCTGTGGGTGACAAGGACACCAGTGTAGGCTCGTTGGTTGCAACAAACGCACCACGCCGGTGCAAGGGTGTTGATATTGTGTGTGTGTGTGTGTGTGTGTAGGTAGGAGCTCTGTGCTTTCTGCTCAATTTGGTGGCAAAGCGAAAGGTACTCTAAAAAATGAAATCAGTTTTAAAAGGAGGAAGGGACAAATGGACCCCACCAGGTGGAGGAACTGAAAAGCAATGGCTCTTTCCTGGGGCGATGTGAACTCAGGCCCCACTCAGCTAGGTAGGGCTTTTGTGCAGGGCACAGAACACAGTGTCCAGTATTCATAACGGGCCCCATCGCTAGCATGTGTTTGCTTTTAGTTTCTGTTCTTTTTTTTTTTGGTACTGGGGATCAAACTTGGGTCCTTGTGCTTTCGAGGCAGGCGGCAGAACCACTGAGCTAAATCCCTGGCCCTAGTTTCTGTTCTTTTTTTCTTTTGGTACTGGGGTTTGAACTCAGGATCTTGCATTTTTGAGGCAGGTGCAGGAACCACTGAGCTAAATCCCCGGCCCGTTTCTGTTCTTTATTAATGCCTTTCTACTTTATTTGGTTTACTCTAACTTCGTTTTTTTTTTTTTTTTTTGAGACAGGGTCTTGCTATATAGTTCAGGCTGGTCTTGAATTCATGGCGAACCTTCCGCCACAGCCTACTAAGTGCTGGGATTGTGTGTCCCACTGTTACTGGCTTTTAGGGTGCTCATCTCTTTCTAGAGGTGGTTTCTAGGTTCTTTCTGTTCTGTGCAAATAACTGGTGAACATAAATGCAAATGGTGGTAGCAGGGTTCTACGTTTATTAAAGCTGGGGGAAAAAAGTGAAAACAAAGCGAGTTTGGGTGAAGTGGAAGGAAAAAAATACACCCTACAGCGTGAGAGTGATTTCAGTGAAAGAACATAGTGACTGAGAGAACTCAGTGGTGACTTTCTTTCATATCTCCCACTTCTCAGGCTGATGTCAGGTCTAGGCTGTCCTAAAACCTGCTTGAGTTTTCATAGGAGGAGTTGAAGAAAACACATTCAGACTGGGTCCACGAGCAGGGCTTTGGGAACTGTTCTGATTATCAGGCCACACCCACTTTCCCAGCCAGACTGCCATGCCCTGGTCTCCTGCCTCACCACCATGCTTGACCTTTGTTTCTAACAACACTTAAAATCTTCAATTCCTATTGGACTTTAGCTGTGTCACACAACTTTTAAGGTTTATCTTTTCATTATTTAGTTCTAAATATATTTTCATTCCCATTGTGAGATGATATGTGTGTACTGTTTGTGTGGTACTGGGGATTGAATCCAGGGCTTTCATACTGAGTTATACCCCTAGTCCATTTTTATTTTGAAAAGATCTCACTAAATCCTCCAGGTAGGGCTCAGACTTTTGATCCTCCTGCCTCAGCCTCCCAGAATGCTGGGATCTCAGGCTTGTGTCACCATGCCCAGCTTTGACTGTATTTGTCTTTGGGTAGGGTTGATACAAGTGAGTCCATTTTCATTTTGACAGCTCTCATATTTTTCATATATCCCCTCTTGTTCTGAGGCCATTGCTGATTAATCATAATTTTTGTCATCACACTTTTCTTATTAAATTGATTTACCTCAGGTATTTGTTATAGTAACAAAATGCTAATAAGCAAACTTTCCAAGTTTGTCTTTTCCTGGGTGGGCAAACTCTGCTTCAGCCCTCAGGTGCCATATAATTTCCTCATATCGCATAGTTTACTGTCTAAAAATCTTTAAAATTGAGGTGTAATTCACATACTACTGTAAAGTCTATCTTTTTGTTGTTTGAGACAGGGTGTCACTTTGTAATTTAGGCTAGCCTTGAACTCACTATGCAGGCTGGACAAGAGCTTGTGACCATTCTCCTGCTTCAGCCTCCTGAGTGCTGGGATTACAGGCATGGGCCACCATGCCCAGATTATATCCATTTTTTTGTACTGGGGATCGAACTCAGGATCTTGTGCTTTCAAGGCAGGCAGTGGCACCACTGAGCTAAATCCCTGGCCCTGTCCATTTTTCAAAGTACATAATTCAGTGGTTTTCAGAGGATTCACAAGGTTATGACTCCTACCTCACTACCTGATTCCAAAATGGCCTCATCATCTCCAAAGAGAAGCCCATCCCACAGCCATCACTCCATTCTCTGCTCCTTGCAGCAGATCACATTTCCTCTGTCCCTGTAACTTGAATGTCTTGGCCATTGATGGCCTTGGTGCCTGGCTATCTTCAGGGTTCACCCATGTTGTAGCAGGTGACAGGATGCCCTTCCTCTTCATGGCTGAATAGTATTCCATTGTATGGATGTGCCACAACTGTAGCCATTCCTCTGTCCATGGACACTGTATTTCCACCTTCCACCTGTGATAATCCTGGTGTGCACATGGGTACAGGTGTTGTGTGGATGGATGTCTTCATTTCTCTGGAGCACCAAGAGACACTTTCACGGTTAGCATCATGCTTTTATTTAAGAGAACTTGCCATGCATATTTTCAATCAATTTAGGACATCGAGGCAGCCATGACGGCACAGCTGAAGACCCTCAGAAAAGAGGACTCCAGAGCTGTCGCAGAGCAAGTCCTTCTGTAGCTTAGTTGGAGAGTGGAGGACTGTAGTGGACGCCTCAGAGCTGCTGCATCAAGTGGCAAGAACGACGGGATGAGTGGGTTCAAAGCAAGGGAGGATTTAGAGGGGATTCATGGCAATGTCTTTACTGTAATAAAAAATCTAAAGGGCCGGGGATTTAGCTCAGTGGTTTGGCCCCCTGCCTCGCAAGCACAAAGTCCCGAGTTCAATCCCCGGTACAAAAAAAAAAAGAAGAAACAACTAAAAAATCTAAAACTTGAAGCATCACCTGTATTTTGTCATCACCAGGTGTACATGTGCATTTTTGATGAAATATGGTTGTTGTGGACAAAGTTCATTATTTCAAAACATCTAAGCTTTATAGATGCCCCGAGTTGACAACGTGCGATAAAAAGTAGAGCCAGTGAATTAGTGGAGTTGTACAGGTTGTTTTGTTACAGAAAAAATGCAGCCGGGACATGTTTTTCCACCACTCTGTGAGTCAGGATGTGCTTATTAGGCAGCAGCACAGGGTGGAAGGAAGCAGACGAGGGATAAGTGCAGATGTGTTCAGATTTCCTTTTTTGAAACAAGGTCTCACTTTTTTGAAAGAAGGTAGCACAGCTTGGCCTTGAACTTGTGCTGACCCTCCTGCCTCAGCCTCCTGAGTGCTGGGATTGTAGGTGTTCACCACCTGAGCCTGCCTCAGGTTTACTTTTTGTGCGGTATGTGCTGGGGACAGTGCCCAGGGCCTGGTGCATGCTAGGCAAGCACTCTACCACGGAGCCACACCCGAACCCTGCCTGCATCTCTTACAGCTATGCAGCGGGGACACACCTTCCTGCTAGCATGTGTGGGCACAGATGTCTTTTACAAAACGTTTGTCCCCAAGTTAAGTGTATTCTCACTCTCCACATCCTCACCTAGGGCTGGGATTTTGCATAGGTAAATATTCTCCATGTGCAGAAAGTGTGCTGCCCACCATTCAATCTTGGATACACAAAACCAGGTGTGGTGTGTGACACAGACTTCAGGACACATCCAACTGCGAACTGCTTGTGTCTCTGTGTGACTTTATTCTTTGTTTTTGCTTTCCCGGTGCACTTAAAAATTCAGGCTATGTTAAGAACCAAAAGAGAAACAAAAACCCAGGCTTGGTGGCACACACCTGTTATCCCTGCACCCTGGGAGGCTGACGCGGGAGAAGTCTGAATTTAAGGCCAACGCAGCGAGACCCTGTCTCAAAATAAAAAATAAAAAAGGGGTGGGGGATGCCGCTTAGTGTAAAGGCTCTGGGATCAAGCCCCACTATTGCAAGGAAAAAAGAAAAAACAGGAAGGATCATTCACGTGAGAAGAGCAGGAGAGGGGTGGCTTGCACATGGCGGGAAAGAATCTGGCAGCTGATGTCATTTTTACTTCAGAAACCACGAGACAGAAGCACTGACAGGACCGACTCTGCCATCCGCACTGGGATGCAGCCTGGCCTGCCCCACCTCCAGCTTTCCCATGGGTCTGCGCCAGGTCACCCACTAGACACTCAGTGCTGTCGGAAGTGGATGAAGAACGTGCGGATCTCCTTGGGGTAGACGGTGATGGTGGAGCCTCCAGGCGGCCTCGAGGGGGAGGTGGGGCGGCCTGGGGAGCACAGGGACTGTCCAGCAGGGCCCTCACACCACAGTGGCCGCCTGCAGGCTCCTCTGGCTCCTGGTGAGGACAGCCCCTTCTTCCCTCTATCCGTCCATCCATTTAACCATCCATTCATCCACCTATCCATCCATCCCTCCATCCCCAGGGACTGAGTGTCCACTCTATACCCAGCCCCACACTGTGAGCGGTGGACAAGGAGGAGATGCCCAGACACAAGGACGAGGGCCTTCCCAGGAGCAGACCAGCCTGGCAGAGACTGGGAGCCCGAGGCTGGCGGGAGTAATGGGTGTACGTGGTGCAGGAACGATTTCCAGCTTGGGGCTCTTGCCCAGGGCATGCAGTCTGTGTGTGTGCACACCTACAACCGCACATACACACGCCTGAACACACTCACTGGGAGAGCTGGGGGCACCAGGGCAGGGGTCCCCTAACCTGTCCGGGGGCCGGGATCTGTCCTCCAGCTCCAGCGCTCCATGGCGTGCACGTCCCAGGTCCCTGTGAGTGAGCGCTCCTCCACGGCCTCCACTGACCCAAGCCCCCGCAGAACGGCCTGCAGGGACAGGAGGGGCGGGTGGAGTCCCGGATCCCCTAAGAGCAGGGGCCAGAGCAGCAGGGGCGGGTGGCTGGGGCACACATGGGCCGTGCATCTGGCTGTAGGGAAGGAGTAGTCGCTTTCAAACTCGCCCAGAGGGCCTCTGGCTGAGGACCCTGGCAGCCGGGGTCCCAGATTCAAGGGTTGCCACCCCCAGACACAGCTTCTGGGCGGAGGCCTGATGCGATGGTGTGCAGGTGAGGAGGGCTTGTGGGCAGCTCACCTCCAGGCTCACAGTTGCAGGCTGGGACAGGACGGGGTCCTCCCCCGCCTCATACAGGTGGTGGAGACGCAGCAGGACCCGGCGCAGGTCTGCTTGGGCCCGCCCTCGGTGGCCTTTGGGGACAGAAGCGGCAGTGAGGACCCTGATCAAACAAGCTCAGTGCCCCGGTCTGTACCTGGCATTTGACTCTACCCATATCCTCAGTGTCCTTGAGAGGGAGGGGACACAGCTCCACTGAGCAGACAGAAGCCAGGGCTGAGGGACAGTCACCTGCCCAGGGCTGCACAGCTGTGTGCCCCAGGCAGAAGCCCCCACCTGGCTGTGCTGACTCCACAGCAGCCCCCTGGGCTTGGGAGGTTGGGGATCAAGTTGGCCTGGGAGGACCCCATCCGGGGACAGTGTGGCTGGGCCCGGGCAGGGCCCATCTGCCCAGTGGTGAGTGACCGTTCATCCCTGTCCCGTTGTCCCAAAGAGAGGATGGGTGGACTCACAGAGCCGTGACAACGCTAAGGCACACCCTGTCGTCTGCAATGGGCTGGGGGCTGGGGCCCAGGGAGGGAGGACAGGGCAAGGGGCCTGGTGTGGGTGGCCTCACCTGTCCGAAGACCCTGCATGTGCTCTTGGTGGCTCGAGCTATAGTTCCAGCCAGGGATGCTCAGGATCTGCAGGTGCAGGTTGGGGGGCAGCGTCACAGCTGCTTGCTGCCAGGTTGTGGGGGGCTTTGGGGCAGGTCCTATGAGGCAGAGGTCAGAGTGGGGTTCAGGCAGGGCCTCCTGCTGGTGTGCAGAGCTCCCTCACTGTGTCCTCTTCTGCCTGTCTCCCCACAGCCTGGGCCACAACCTGCCTGCCAGGAGAGCGGCTGTCTGTTCCGCCCTTTGCTGTTTGGGTCCTTGTCCCTCAGTGCTGCCCCCTCACGTCCCTGCTGGAGTCACGGAGCTTAGGGGCTGCCGCGCTCCACAGCGGGACACACACACACACACACACACACACACACACACACACACGGAGCTTGCACACACAGCAAGCTGCCTCTGAGCCTGCCTTGTTCGGGGCCGGGACATCAGCTCCTCCCTCATCTGGTTCCCACTCCCAGGCCCCTCAGTCCCACTCCATCCAGCTGCTCTGCCAGCAGAGCTGCCACGGCTCACAATTCCCCCCGCCACACAGACTGGCCAGGCCCCAGACGCTGGACCCAAGCAAGGCCAAGGTGAGTCCTTCCCTGGGACTGTTGCCCTTGAGACTGGAAAGTCCAAGTCTCAGTTCCTTTGGGTGCTATAGTTTGGATCTTTTTGTTTGTTTTTGAGACAAGGTCTCACTTTGTAGTTCAGATTGGGCTTGAATTCCTCCTGCCTCAGCCTCCCAGGGGCTGGAATTCCAGGTGTGCACCACCCTGCCCAGCTTGGTTTGTTTTTTGTCTGTATCTCAAAGACCAGGTGCTGAGGCTTAGTCACCAGCCTGGGGTGCTGCCATGGGGAGGGGGCGGGGCCAAGCAGGAGGAAGTCAGGCAACTGCATGGCTGTCAGTTTCCGCAGGCCTTGCAGATTAGACCATGGGCTAGAAGCACGCGGTGACAGCATGAACAGACTCAGGCAGAATCGGCCTGCTAAGCACCGGCCCTTCCTGCACTGCCCCTGCTCAGGTCCCGAGGGCATGTAGCATCCCCTGGCACTGCGCACCCCAGGCGGGAGACCCCTCTCTGGCCAGCTCCCTGAGCAGCACCACGGGCCTGTGCTGCAGTGCCAGGGCACTCTGCGGGCGCAGGGCGGCAGTGATTGCCCGGGGACCCAGCAGCAGCCAGAGCACGGGGTGCACGATGGAGGTGTCGTTCAGCGTGAGGTTGTAGTTCAGGTCCCAGGCCAGGTTGTTCCACAGGCGCCGATGGAGCATGACCTGTGGGCGAGCGACGGGGAGGCCACTGCCTCGGGGTGCTGAGTCACACCCAGGGGGGCCCAGGGGTGAGCCGGCTGCTTACCTCCACCTGCCCGCCGCCTTGGCTGGAGATGCCGTGTGCCCGCTCCGACAGCAGCACCAGCCTGCTCCTGCTGTCCTCGATGAAGGCCGACTGCACCATGGGGTAGTAGTTCTGTAGGCACAGGTGTCACCAGCGGGGTCACGGGGTCATGGTTTCCCCCCCAGGCTGACACATGGGGTGAGCCCCCCGCAGTGCTGCTTCCCAGCCCCAGGACATAGCTCTAGCTCTGTATTTGACCCACATCGCTGCATCTACCCTCAGAATGGATCTGACAAAGCATTTCCTTTACAAAAGCGGAAACCAAGGCACAAACCAAGGATTCTTGTCTGACAGCACCAGGACCCAGAGGCCAGTTGGACCCAGAGTCTGGACAGACACTTAGAAAAGGGGCTTTAAAAGAGCTCTCTGCTCCTAAGAGCCAATGTTAAAATGCAGGAAAGCCAGGCATGGTGGCTCACACCTGTAAATCCAGCACTCTGGGAGGCTGAGGCAGGGAGGTTCCAAGTTTGAGGCCAGCCTGGGTAACTTAGTGAGATCCCGTCTCAAAAGTTAGAAATAAAGGGCTAGGGATTTAGCTCAGTGGCACAGCACCCGCCTGGCAGGCTCCAGGTCCTGAATTTGATCCCTGGTACCAAAAAACAATTTAGAAATAAAGGGTGGAGGATGTAGCTCAGCATGATGGCCCTGGGTTCCATCCCTAGTATCACAAAAAGCAGGGTGACAGGAAAAGCACCCCAGGATTGCCACGCAGGCTGCATGGGCATACCCGGGCGATGGTGTTGTTCACATACTCCCGGTAGGGCCTCCGCTGCATCTGGTAGCCATTGTTGTCCGAGTAGAGGACCTGGCGGCTGTCGAGGTCGCTGCTGGTCCTCAGGATGGCCTCACGGTTCAGCTCCAGGGGCCCTACCCTGTACTCCTGCTCCACGCGGTAGCACAGCAGCTCCGCACCTCCGCCCTGGTACACGTGGGCCAGCCGGGAGTGGATGGCGTATGTGTAAGCCTGTGCCATGGCATCCCTGGAGGAGAAGAGGTGAGGGAGGTACAGCTGCAGGAGAGCCTAGGGCATCCCTGCCTGCTCTCATTCCTTCCTGTACTGGGGAGGGCAGGCAGCCAGGCAGCCTTTTGGGGCCATGAGGACAACGGCACAGCCCGGGACACTGAGCAACAACACAGCAGGAGGACCTGGGTCTCTGAGATGGCAGAGTTGCTGTGCCTGGCCTGGGCCTTCAGTTAAAGGGCAGGAACCCTTCTTGGTGATGACTAGCACAACCCACATAAGCACATGCGAAGCCTAGAGCAGTTTTCTTCTGCTTCCGCAAATTTTCCTCCAGTGACAGCTGGCCAGGAGCCAGGGCCACCGTGGGTGTGTGCCATGGGGCCTGGGGCACCTGTAGAAGTGCTGCCGGATCTCAGTCACCAGCTTTCCCGCCACAATCTCCAGCTCCACGGCTTCCCATGCGGGCACTGCCACCTTACTGGGCGAGAATAGGTAGTTGTCGGAAATGGGGCCCTGCTTGGTGTCCCCGTTGGCGTGGTACTCCAGGAACTCCTGGGCCATGTGCACCGTCCGGTTGCTTTGTCTGCAGGGATGAGAAAGACGGGGGATGCAGCATTACTAAGGTCCTGGATAAGGTCTCGCTGGCACGGTTCCTGTGACCTGGGACAGGGTGACAACTGCTCTACTGGGGAGCCAGGGCTGAAGGGCCGCCCTGCGGGGAGCCCCAGAGTCACACAGCAACAGGACTGGGTGGAAGCCCACACAGGCCTTGGGCTCCATCGTGTCTCCGGGGTTTGCACAGCCACCCAGGGGAGGGGCAGGCGCCTCAGAGCCTTCTAGATGCAACAGTGGGGTTTTTCTTGGTATAGGGGATTTGAACCCAAGGCCTTCACACTGAGCTACATCCTTAGCCCTTGTTTTTTTTTATTTTTTATTTTGAGACAGAGTCTTGCTAAGTTGCTAGTGACCCAGGCTGGGCTGGAACTTGCAGTCCTCTTGCCTCGGCCTCCCAGAGTGCTGGGACTGCAGGCCTGTACCACCACACCAGGTCAGATGTGTAAAGGGCAGCTATGCATGTGGTGCAGGCAAGAGCACACGTGCATCTGGTATTTGTTTCTGGCTTGGCCTTACCGTGGCAGGAGGATGAGGAACTGGATGGCTCTGAACCCACTTGGGGGATTTCCTCGGGGTTGTGGCTGAGTGGGGAATAAAGAATGGTTTCCGGGCTGGGGATTTAGCTCAGTGGTTCCAGCACCTGCATCAAAAGCGCAAGGTCTGGAGTTCAATCCCCGGTACCAAAAAAAAAAAAAAAAAGGTTTCCATCTGCCTGGTACAAAAGGTCTCCAGGCTCTGCCTCTCCCCACCCCCAGAGTCCTTTCAAAATGCTGCCCAGGGCCACGGAGAGAGGGAAAGACAGCTCAGGAAGGAGAGAAAGGATTTTTCCACCATATATCTGACACGGGATTAGTGCCTAGAATACACAAGCAGCTCTTACAACTCAGCAGTAAGAAGAAAACTCAATTTAAAAATGGGCAAAAGGGCTGGGGATTTAGCTCAGTGGCACCTGCCTCGAAGGCTCAAGGTCCTGAGTTTGATCCCCAGTACCAAAAAATAAATAAAAATGGGCAAAAGATCTGCATGCACATTGCACCAAGGAGGATGCGCAGATGGCCCACAAGTACAGCATCATTGTTACTGAGGATCTGAAAACCCAAACACACCGAGACAGCGCTTCACACCACCTGCAGTAGCCACCCCGAAAAGTCAGAAAACAACAAGTGAAGCGGGGTTGAAGACACGGGCCCTGCGCTGTGGCAGGGACAGGAAACAGGTGGCTGCCGTGCGAATGGCTCATGGTTAAGCACAGTCATCACATGGCCCTGCAGTGCCACCGAGGTCCACACCTAGGCAAACGACAACATCCTTCCAAACAAAAGCTCGTAAAGGGATGCTCAGGTCAGCCTCGTTGCAGGTACCCAAGAGTGGGAACCAACCAGATGTCCATCAGCTAAACAAAACGAGATGCACCCGTGCCACGGAACAAGGCAGCTGCCGCCCCGCTGCCCCACGGCATCCCATGAGAACTCGAGGCTATGCGGAAGCAGCCAGGCCCAGCTGGACCACGCGTCCCAGCTCCTGTGCGGGTGACAGGCCAGACTGGCACATCCAGAGCTCCAAAGGAGGGCAGTGGCTGCCAGGTCCTTGGGGAGGGCGAAGAAGGGGACTGGCTGGTAGATTGCAGGAGGTTTCTTTTTGGGTTGATGAAAATGTTCTAACGTGGTTGGGGGTAGTGGTTGCACTAGTGAAGATGTGAAGGGACATTGAATCACACAATTTAAAGGGGTGAATTGTGTGCTATGTGAGTATCTTCAGCAAGCTGTTATGTTAAGAGTGCAGTACTCAACAGTGGATCCACCCGTGGATGAGCTCATGGCCAAATGTGCTTTAGGAGTCTGCTCGGAGCCAGCTGACCATGGACTGAACCCCAACCATGAGCCAAATGCACCTGTCTTCCTTAAACTGCGGGTGTTGGGTACTGTGCCTCAGTGACAGGAACGCGCCTAGGACACTACTACTGGCAAATACTAAGGTGAGGGTGTGCCCGGCACAGGGGAGGGTGAGTGCTGGCCCTGCAGGGCACTGGCAGAGCGGGCACTGGGCGTGGTGAAGGAGCAGAGGCAGACCCCCTTCCCCAGCCTGGGGGGCTCTGGACCTCCGGCCTTGCTCTACCCCCTCTGCACCTCTGTGCCACTCATACTCTGTCCACAGTCACCATTTCCATCTGCCCGTCCCAGGAAGGCTCAGTGGGACAGTGACTATGGACCTGGCTGGGCCCCACTCAGGAGCCCTGGTGCTCCGCGGGCAGAGATCTGCTGATAGCCCGGGCCTGAGCAACACAGGCTGATACTTCCTGGCACAGACGGCCCGCCCCTGCCCCTTCCTGTCCCCACCCCATTTCCCAGCCCTCACTCTGCACTGCCACACGCTTCCCTCTGATGGGAGCCCACACAACAACAACTCGGTGCACTGCAGAGGCAGCGGGAGTTGGTGACAAACGCACTGGGCACGGCCTGAGGAAGGACAGGGCTGAATCCACACCAGCTGGTAGGCCTTTCCCAGGGCTCAGCCGCCCTCGGTGCTGTCTACAACAGCTGCAGAATGAATCCACGAATGAATGAATGGATTTATGGGTAGGAGGGGTGATGACTGGAGGGATGGAAGGATAGATGGGTAGGTGGATGGAGGGATGGATAGATAAGTGGGTGGATGGAGGCATAGGTGGATAGGTGTGCAGATGGATGGAGGGATGGACGCGGGTGGGTAAACAGGCAGACGAGTGGATGGATGCCTAAACAGGTAAGTGAGTAGAAACATGATTCTGCAGGTCCTTTCTGTCCTAAAGACATCGTGCTCCTGTGCTCCTCTGAGCTTGAAGAAGCGGACAACGTGAATGTATTTTCCCCAGGGTGAGCCCCTCGACACCCTGTCTACAGGCCGGCAGCTCAGGAACGAGATGCTGTGAGCAGCCTCTTCTGTGCCAGCCCAGGCTCACCCTCCTTGAACTGAAACCACAGGGCAGGAGGGGCTTTGCTCCCACCCGGTCCCTCCCTTGGGCGGGTGAGGCCCTGTGCCTCGGAGCCAGCGAGGGCTGCGCCTCACCTCTCCTGGACGCTGTGCAGCAGGTTGGTGTCTGGGTCCAGCAGCACCGTGTAGCAGTCGTTCGCCACGGGCACCAGGCGCCTGTGCTCCCTGCTGGCATGGCGCAGTCTTCGGCCAAACCGGACAGTGCTGGCCTCGGCAGCGGCTGCCTGGGTCCCCGTCGTGGGCCTGATGCTGTAGTGCCGGTAGCTGAGGCCCGGGATGGTGACCAGGATCAGCAGGTCATAGGCGGAGGGGACTTTGGTGGAGTTCTGGACCTGCAAGGCCAGCAGGACAGACAGAAGGTGGACTCGGAGCCTGGGCCAGCACGGGGTGCTCACCATCCGCACATGGCGGGGGAGCTCCGGAAGTCTCTGCTGGGCCCTGCGCTCGGTGGGGAACGGGTGTTAAGGGTTAAATCTGCTCCCCTCCCTCCTCTCACTCTGGACCATACACACTCCCCCGCCTCAGTCGGAGGGGATGGACACTCCCCTCTGCTGTGTCACCACTCCACACCATAACCATCTGTCTGCCCTCACTTCTGTCCAGGGACCCAGCATGAAGCCCAGGGCCAACTCTGGGTGTTCCGGAATGTTTGCTGAATGACCCCAGCCCAAGGGGGTGGGGTGACTCCTGCTTTCCCCACAGAGCTTGAGCTGCCGCGAGGCAGGGGAAGGAGGGGCTGGACCACCCAGCTGCGGATGTTTGCCTGGGCCTGCCCCACCCAGTGCCTCCATGACAGCACCCCGAAGGACCCCAAGGCCGTTCTGCACCAGGAGCTCGCGTCCACACCTGTGCAGGCACCGCGTGGCCCAATTCGTCCGTGACGCTGACTCCAGGGAAGCTGACGGTCAGGCTGACGATGGTGGTGACTGTCCAGGCCAGGGGGTTGTAGACGGAGGCGAGGTGTCCTGCAGGCCTTGTGCCTACACACAGAACAGGCTTTCCCTGCTGGCCCGACCCACCGACACTTGTGGGTGACTCTCCGAAGGGGAAACCAAGGCAGGAGAGCCCTGGGAGCAGGCGAGGGGCAGGTAGACAGGTGGCGCTCATCTATGCACACAGGACATCTGCTCAGGGCAGGTCCTGAGGGGAGGTGGGAAGGGGACACCATGGTGTCCCTTGGACGCTGAGGTCCCCTGAGCCCCTCCCATCCACCAACTTTAGGGATAGGGAAACTGAGGCCAGAGAAGTTCCTTGCCTGGGCTGTCAGAGTCCAGGCACTGCTAGGGCAGTGCAGAGGCCAGAGGGGACATCAAGAAGTACGTGACAGGCTAGGTGCAGTGGCACACGCCTGTAATTTCAGTACTCTGGGAGGCTGAGGCAGGAGGACCCAAAGTTTGAGTCCTGCTGGGGAACCTAGTGAGACCCTGTCTCAAAATGAAAAATAAAAAGGGCTGGGGAAGGAGCTCAGTGCCAAGGCCCTGGATTCAATCTCTAGTGCCACACAGCAAAACAAGAAACAGTTCAGTGCAACCAGAGTGCAGGCTGAGGCGGGGCCTGGAACCTCGTACGCAGGGTGGCCTCACGCTCAGCAGGGAGACCAGCAGCCCCGCCATCCAGGGCTTTCCGGGCTGTGGCAGCCCTGGCCTCAGCAAACTGGCAGGGTGGTCACTACCCATGTGAACCCCCCTGGGGTTGGTCCACAGCTGCCCGGCGATGACCTGCACCCCAGCCAAGCTTGGGAGGGAGCCCCAGGCACCAGGCAGGGCAGCACAGGGTCACAGGTTCAAACCCCACTCTGCCCCTTCTGACCAAGGATGTGACCTAGGACAAAGGCCCTCTGAGTCTGCTTCTTGGGCTCTAAGACGAGGATACTAATAACTCTTGTCCTATGGAGATTTTTGGTTTTGGGTTTTTCTTCGTTTTTTTAAATTTTTTTTTTTATTTTTGGTACCAGGGATTGAACTCTGGACCCTGTGCTTGCAAAGCAGGCGACAGAACTACTGAGCTAAATCCCTGGCCCTTTTCTTCATTTTTGGAGACGAGGTCTTACTATGTAATCCAGGCTGAACTCATTATGTATTCCAGGTTGGCCTCAAAGTCAAGGTGATCCTCCTGCCTCAGCCTTCCAAGTGCTGGGGTTATAGGTGTGTGCTATGGTAAATTAAATCCTCCACAAAGAGTATTTTGAGCTGAGTAAATACTCAGAATGTGGTCCCAGTCCCTCTGGCTCTAATTGTAACCTCAACCCTTCTTCAGTTTGGGGATGGGGACCCGGGGGCTGGGAGCTCTGGGGTCACTGCCAAGGTCATGCCCGGCAGGGGCGGTGAGCTTGAAATGTGAACGAGGCCTCCACCTCCTGCCGGGGGCTTACCTGAGCTGGACCTCAGGGCCGCATGCTGTGCCCTGTCTTCGGCGATGGAGGCCATCAGCTTGTGCACCCCCAGGCTCCCCACGGCCAGGTGCTGCACATACATGTCATTCACCTTGGGGGACTCAGTGCCGGTGATGGCATCATGGTGCTGGACCTGTGGCCCCCAGAGCCAGGGAAGAAGGGTCAGGACCTGAGCCCACGAGGAGGTGGGCATCCCATCCCTTTGCAGAACAGGAAACCGAGGCCAGAGAGGCTGAGGACCTTGCCCAGCCTCTCCTGACCTGTGGAAAGAAGCCCCATCCGGGGACCCTGGGAAGGATGCAGCCTCCCCTACGCGACCTCCTCCCTTGGGCGGCTCCAATCCATGCTCCGTACAGCTTGAGCTTTATCTCCTCTGCGCTGGAGCAGGGCCAGAATGTCTCACAGAGGGGAAACTGAGGCTAACAGGAAAGCCACTTTGGCCCACTGCTCTGATGGACTTTAATGACCACTTATCTCTGCCCCACACAAGGACAAGTCCTGATGGGATTTCCTTTCCATACCTGAAAATGGCATGTCTGGCCTGGCCACTTTTGGGTGGGGGTGGCTTTGGGGACCTCTTGGGTCTCCATTTCCCCGACTGTACACTGGGGGACAGGTGCAGAGGGGCGTTTAGGAGCAATGTATCACATGGCAGCCACTGTGGTGAATGGGACATGACTATTAACACACCCTGTTGCCTTCTGCCCTGGGAGGAGGGAGCTGCTCTACCCGAAAGGGAGGAAATCGGGGCTCAGAGAGAGAAGGCCACGCTCCTGAGCTCACAGGTGAGCCGAGAACTGGGCGCCTGCAGGAGTGCCAGACACTCCTGCCACCCTACTCTGTCCTTTATTCCTCTTGGGAAAATCAGGGGCAGACGAATAAAGCCATTGGCTGGATGCGACCAGACCTCTGCCCAGCTTCATCATGCAAGTCTTGTGACCTAAGGACCTCAGTCTTCTCATCTGAAAAGTGGGGTGTCAAAGCCCAGGGCAGGACAAGGTGGGGGTGCACAGCACAGGAGGCCCCTGCCCTGGCACTGTGGCCCACAAGTGTGACATTACCTCAGAGACGGCCCAGCGGAGCTGCTGCAGCTGCTGCAGGGCCCAGGCAGGGTCCAGAGTCCCGCGGGGTGCCGGCCACATGTAGCGTGTGAACATGGACTCCCCAGCATACAGCAAGGCACTGGTTTGCCGCGCCAGCCCCTTGAGGGCACTGCGGGATGTGTAGAAGCCCGTCCAGGCCTGCAGCTGTTCTAGGAGATGAGATGGTGAGCCTGAGACTCCTGCTCCAGGGGGCTCTGGGCCAGGCAGTCCTGGGACAGGCTCGCACAGCAGCAGGGACATCCTGGGGAGTGGATGGGACTGGTGGTGCGAGCTGAGACCCCATGTGGCTGCCGTCAGGATCCGGTACAAAGAGGAGAGCAGGGTCAGGATGAACTGGGGCTCAGCACCTGCTCAAGCTCAGGTTCTCGCTGTGTCGCCTCCCTGCCCGAGGCTGGCCTGTGTTTCTACTCCCTGTTCCCTCCCACAGGACCTGTGTAGGCCCCAAAGGGTGGCCACAGATTGTGGGGTCAGACAGATAGGGTCCCCACAGCTCCATGGCCAAACTGAGCAAGTGGTGGGGTGGGGATTCCAAACTGGGCAACTCCAGGCCCAAGGTCTAATTGCGGCATCCCTAGACCCACCTGGACACCGCCACGCCCACCCCAAGCCTCAGCGGCCACGCCCACAGACCAGCCACGCCCACAGACCAAACCTCCGACTGTAACCCGCCCATAGACAAAAACCCACCCACCCAGCGTAACCATGCCCATACAATCCCCTCCCACGCTGACTGTAACCACGCCCATAGGCAAACCCTGCCTACCCTGACAGCAACTACGCCCACAGGCCATATCCACTGGCACTCAAGTAACCACACCCACATGTGTCCTCCCACCGGCTATTAACCACGCCCACATCAGTGTGCCCACTCTCCCCACATGTAGCCACGCCCACCAACCCGAAGGTCCCGAGAGTCACAGTCCTGCTGACCATGGCCCAGCCGCACAGGCCCCAGTGAGCCCCACAGACAGGGAAGGAGATGGAAGGAAGGGGACCACCGCAGAGCCTCCCCACAGGGGTCTGCCCATCC